GATTTGTCAAAACCAGTGAGGATTTTTTTTTTAATTTAATTAGATGGCTTTGGTAAAGACCAATTAGCCAGAACCAGTGAGAATTAACAGAACAAATTTTCTCTTCAGATGTAATTATATTAACCAGCTGGTTAGATAGCAAGTTAGTAATAACGGTATCCAACTCGTTTGGGGTTGGTACAGGAGATGTTGCAAAACGTTGAAATAATAAAACAAAATGATACATTTGGTATCGAAGGAAATAAACTGGTTGACCAGCTTGCTAAAGATGCAACCCATGTTGGACTCTATATTCCTATATTTACTGATTACAGTAACATCATTATAGCAACATTTTATTAAATTGCTCCTGGTTTTTAAGATTTTAATTAATTTAACCTATTTCTCTGGAATGTATATGAGCACTGATTCGGTTGCCCTCTTAACTGCTTTTTCTATTATGCTGTGAACTGAATTACCTTTATTTTGGATGGGACCGCGAACAAGGTACTTGTGACTAATAGAATTGATGTCCAAAGAATTGACAGCAAATAGGTACATGGCTATTAGAAAATTAATTTTTTTTATTGGCCTCCTCAGTTATCGGAATAAAAAATCACATCAACTCCTGAACTGGTTACTGACAATTCCTTTAGATAGTAATAAACGCAAAATCCGATTTCTATTGCCCCTCTATTCTCCATCACTTCATTCCAAAAGTAACAGCTAGCTTTATCAATTTCACAAGTGCTATCTGTTTCGCAGACTTGGCCTATTTTAGCCTTTATTTCTACTACTGTAAAGTTATTACAGTTTAAGCAAGATTTGTAAAAAAATGCAGAACTTTATCCTATTGGTACAGGTAATACTGCTTGTAAATTATAAGTAGCCAGATGTATATTGTTATTAGAATTTTTTGTTTTCAGTTTATCGTTAGTTTTTTCTTTACAATTTAGATCCTTTTTCTCTAAGTAACTTTCAATGGTTGTTTGCATATATTTATTCTTTTATTCGGCCCCAGCATTTATAAAAGATTCGCATGGTTTACAAAGATCTTTCTTTTGGATAAAAAACCCTATATTAAATTCGCTGTTGAAAACACGAGAATAACAATCGTAGGTTGCTGATTCTTTTTCTTTTGCTTCTTTTCGGTTCTTTATACAGTTCCTGTGAAGTTTGCAATAACTAAACCACCGTCTATGTATTGCCTCGAAGAATCACTTCGAAGTTAGTGACTTTCAATTCGTGGAATTGAATTTATATGGCTACGAACAGAATCCAAAATTTTGTCACTTATTTTCTTGCAACTATCGTGCTTTACACGTTTATCTTCTAGTATAATAGTAGTTTTTTTACTTAATACTGCTTTAATTATAGAGCGAATAGCTCTTTAAGTTATTTCAAAAGTATTATGAGAAACGTTTTACATAACCTATCTTGTTTTCCTTTACCTGTAATGAAAAATGCACCATGTGTATTTCTGGGAGTGGTTTTTGATGTACAAATACGTCGGTAGCCCAACTTAAGTGGCTGAATACAAGAAGCCAAAATATCGCACTGTCTTTGCAAGGACTGTAGTGCCAATACTCTTTAAACTGTGTCTCTCTTATCCTTTCAGATACCTACCCTTTTTGGACATTTAAAACGGTATTTGTCTGTACACATAGTCCCATTTTTCGCACTGAATGTTTGCCATTGTGAGTAACGTGCTAGATATAATCTTCAGATGCTTTAACCAATTATCACAGTATTTTTTCCCTAACTAGTTACGTCAATGTTGGTGTTGGGACTTGGTTATTTGTGACATAAATACTCTATAAATTTGCAACGATAAGAAAATCATATGAAATGACAAAGAATAAAGTTACGTTAATGTTACAATTGCGTCAATGTAGCACCGTAGGTACAAGCACACACTCGATTAATTGAAATACAACTATACAATCTGTCATTGTTTCTCCGATATCGGCTGATTTTTTAAATATGACGCATTTGCTTCCTAGTGGCTAAAAGCCGAAGAACGATGACGTGACTGTCAATGGGATAACCTCATTGGCCCAATGACGATATAAACGCATTTTTTTCGGTCAATGTTCCAAGGGACGGTATATATATATATATATATATTATATATATATATATATATATATATATATATATATACGAAGTAAACAAGAAGGTCGAGAGACCTCTCTTCGATAGCAAATAGGGTGAACCGCAAATTCAAAGTCTCTTACTAGAGGTTTTTTGTAAACGACGCTAGAAGTATCCTTTTACTTCAACATGCATCTACGATTCACCTTTGAAAAATGCTTTTTTTTTCGCTCATTACGTAGAGAAAAACGTTTGAATAAAAGTAAAAGTTTGCATTTCATTTCAATGGGAACTCCACCATTGCTCTACACGTGTTTCGGGTTATTCAACGCATCGTCAGGAACACTTGTGAAGTTCAAACTGAAATAAAATGCAGTCTAGTAGTATTTGGTCATTATAACCAAAAATAACAGCTTGGTACGCCAGCAGCGACATCTATAAGAAGTAACAAAAAGTCAAAAGACCTCTCCTCCATTTCAAATTAGGCGAACCGCAAATTCAAAGCCTTAGACTTGAGGTTTTTTAAACGACGCTAGAAGTATCCTTTTACTTATAACATGCATCTACGATTCACCTTTGAAAAATGCTATCTTTTTCGCTCTTTACGTAGAGAAAGACGTTTAAAATGAAAGTAAAAGATTGCATTTCATTTTAATGGGAACGCCACGATTGCTCTACACGTGTTTCGGGTTATTCAACTCGTCGTCAGGAACACTGTCTGTGAAAGGTCAAACTGAAATGAGATGCATTTTAGCATTATTGGTAAAGCAAATATCAAAAGAAAATTTGACTATTAAGATAGGTATGTGTGGTTATTTTTGTGTGTGCAGTTTGATAGGAAAAACTACATGTAATGATTTATTTGACAGATATTCCCCAGTTATAGTCAATTTAACAAAGCCCCAGGAGAGGATGGAATCGTAATAGAAGATATCGTAAATGGAGGAGATATGCTATTAAATAAATTAAGGAAACTATTCAATCTATGTTTGCAGCAAAGAGAGGTGCCCAAAGAGTGGAACAATGCTACAACCATCCTTTTGCATAAAAAAGGAGATAGAACGGACCTAGAAAATTATAGACCTATTAGCCTGTTGAACCACATATACAAGCTCTTTACTAGGGTAGTGACATCAAGATTGGAGAAAAAATTAGATTTCTACCAACCGAGAGAGCAGGCAGGATTCCGCTCAAATTATGGTACCAATGATCACCTCCACACAGTAAAGACACTCATTGAAAAATCTATAGAATATAACAAACCTCTTATTCTCACTTTCATAGATTTTCATAAAGCGTTCGACACGATCGAATTAGACAGCCTTATAGAAGCAATGAATGACAGCAGGATTGACCATAGGTATAGTGAGCTTATTTATAATATTTACAAAAATGCCACTATGACTGTTAAAATAGACAATAAAACCCGACCAATAAAAATAAATCGTGGAATAAGGCAAGGAGATACATTGTCGCCGAAATTATTCATAACGGCATTAGAATATGCCTTTAAGATGATCAATTGGGACCACAGAGGAGTAACGATAGACGGCGAAAAGCTTAACCATCTCCGTTTCGCAGATGACATTGTCCTTATCACAGATAATTTAGGAGAAGCTACAGATATGTTAAACGAATTGGATTTTGCATGTTCGAAGGTGGGCCTGAGAATGAACTTGACCAAAACTAAGTTTATGACAAATTTGGTCCCCAATAACCATTTGACTATTCAAGACAAAGTGGTAGAACTGGTGGAGAAATATACGTATTTGGGTCATGAAATAAGAATCAGCAGGGATAACCAAACATGTGAGATCCAAAGACGAATTACTTTAACATGGGCAGCCTTTGGAAAATGCGAGACACACTTAGGGCCAACATACCAATCAGCCTCAAAAGAAAAGTGTTTGACCAATGCGTATTACCGGTCATGACCTATGGGGCGGAAACTATGACTTTAACCAAGACCACGGCTTCGAAACTGAGAGTGGCACAGAGACGAATGGAACGGTCTATGCTGGGAGTGACGTTGAGGGACCGAATAAGAAACGAAGATCTGCGAAGAAGGACGAGTATTACTGATGTTGTGGAACGCATAGCGGAACTAAAATGGAACTGGGCAGGCCATGTAGCGAGAATGCACGATTCACGATGGACGAGCAAAATTACAAATTGGAGGACAAGAGCAGACAAACGCAGTAGAGGAAGACCACCTACACGTTGGGCCGACGACATCAGGCGTATCACTAAAAATTGGCAACAAAGAGCACAAAATCGTGAGGAATGGAGGAGTTTAAGGGAGGCCTATATCCAGCAATGGACGTGATAAATAGAGGCTGGATGATGATGATGATGATAGTCAATTTCGTGTAATCGAATAAACTGTTCTTCAACAAAGTTCTCCGAGAAACGCATTTTAAAAATATTAACCATATTATTTTAAAGTCATCTTTGTTAAAATGTGTGGATAATAAATGTATGTCTTCATAATTGTCAATATCAATAAGTAAAATCATATTGAATTTTAGAAGAATTTTTTACCAAAAAACAAGACGAAATATTTTGTTTAATTAAGATTTTAGAACATTAAATTAAAAGTTATTTATTATTAAGATTAATCTTGGTATGTTTTCCGTTTAGATTACTACGGAATTTTTATTGGTATTTGATAATATGAATATAAATCATTTTATACAAATATTTTTGACTCTGATTAAATATTCACTAGTTGATTTAATCGCAAAAACTGTATCTATAGTCAGATTTTCTACTAAAACAATTAAATTTTTTCGTTTATTATCTTACAAAAATGTGATAAGATGCAAAGAAAACATTATCTGAACTATGGAATGTCAAGGCTGTGTCGTAATATAATGCTAAAAATGATGAAATGAATCGTAATTTACTTTGGATGTATAAATAGTCTGGTTTCCGATATAGCGAGTGTCAGTGTTTTATCAAATTTTTCCAGTGCAGATACAGTGTAACTAATTGTATAATTATAGTGTCATTTGAAGTTCAAAATTTTAAAAGGTAACTAGTAAGTTTAACCATTTGAAGTTTTGTATTGTTTTAGCAATGGAAACGGTTATACAACCCACTACAGCAATCGCTGTTACACAGATACCTGCAGAGATAGAGGCAATAATTAAAGCAGCTGTTGAACACACTGTTGTTGGTTTAATGGAACAGCGAGTTGGTAGAAGAATACATGGAAGATCCAGGTCTAGATCCAAGAGCAGAAACCGGTCTAGATCTCGCAGCCGTGGTAGTCGTTCTAGATCTAGAAGCGGGAGTAGGCGCGAAAGATCTAGAAGCAAGGGCAGATATGACAGATCTAGGTGCCGGGGTGTCTGTGAAACACCTGAAGGAAATGCAAACGAATGGAACAGTAGGGTAGATTTTGGATTTCCACCACATCATCATGATCATTTCTACCACCATCATCATCCACCAGGTTGGATGGGTGAACATTTCCCCTTCAGACGTCATGGTAGACATGGAAGACGTGGTAAAAAATTTCCATTTCATGGTGAATGCTTCTGTAACAAAGAAACGGAACAAAATATAGCTGCAAGTGAAAAGGAAGGTACTCCTGTCGCCCATAAGAACTTAAGAGCTCGTTTTGAAAACCTAGATGTAGATGATTAAACAAGGTTATGGTAAACGGCTGTAAAAATCGGCAACCAGAAATAAATTACTTATTGTAGATATAAGTACAAAGAAATGTGTTATCATTAATTATAGTAATAGATAGATTTTATTTATTGTTAAATTTTTATTTTATACTTATACATAAATTAATATTTTGGAATTATTTTTATTAATAAAAAAGTATTTTTATACCAGTTTTTAAATTACCTTTTCCTAATTATTTTTAAAGTGTCCTATCATATTACAACGTAAAAAGAGTTTTAAATATATTTTGTACTAAATTTTGGTTTTAATTTAGTTATCAATAGTCTTTTATCGTGTGCCCAAATTTATTAAGTTATTTTTAGAAAAATTTCATGATTCAAACAAATATATTTTATGTTTTACTTAGTCTAAGCAAAATCTTCTTCTTCGTCTTTTTCCTATTTTTATGTAGACATGACTCATGTCTGTGCTTCAACGTTTATTCATTAAGTAGCCGTTCTATCGTTTTTGTGGTCCTATCGCTCTTCCTATAGAGAACCGTCTCTTGTTGACTTTTCTACTCGTGTTTGTTGTCATGATCCATCCATTCTACTCTTTGATATCTTATCCAGTCCTTGATGTTCCTTCAACCTCGTATCTACGTCATACATTTGTATTTTAGGTATATCCTATAGTTTCTTACCATTATTTTTTGTGCCAGTTTTTTATCTGTGCTGTTTCTAACATTCTTTTTGTCCTCTCTGTGTGAGGTCGTGTTTTTGCAAAGTATATCGTTATTGGTCTGATAACTGTTTTCTCTAATGCCTTTGATTTGCTTCCTGATATTTTTATTTCTCATTTGTTATTCAGGTTGCCGGAATTTTCATATTCACAATTAGCAACAAGTTACACTACTGCTTAAAATTCCACTGCAATATAAAACACGATTGACTTTTCTTTAAACAGATAGTTAAAGAACCAACTAAACTTACCTTATACCAACCAATAAAAAAATTGGATTTTTACTATTAACCAGGTTATAGGAAAACGCATAAAAAGAGGGTCAACTGTCTACTTTCCCTTTGTCAACCTTATCAAACCTAGGCATGAAAAACAATGGTATCCGTAAATGGTACATTAAAGCTGTAAAATCTCTAAACACAAGATATAAAAGCACAGTCAAAGTAGGCAAGATGACGTCTTAAGATTGTTCGATTAGTAAAGGGTTAAAACAGAAACCTTTCTTAATAGCACCGCTTTGTTTAAAATATACCTGAAAAAAGTACCCCAAATATGACGACGGAAATGTAGCTAAATGGGAATAACAGTGAGTAATTACACAATATACTCTCTTCTGTTTGCAGACGATCAGTACTGGTAGCTACTGGCACTGATGACTGAAGCTATATGTTAAGGAAACTGTTTGAGGAATATTAGAAATTGGGATTAAAGATAAATCTACATAAGACCATGTTTATGGTAACTGGCCATGAAAACATGCAAGCTTTCGTTAGAAAATAATTAAATATTAAGCATTCCTCATCCTTCTTTTATTTGAGTATAACTTTAACATCTGACGAAAAGATCCAGAAAGATATTAAAAACACAATCTAACAAGAAATACGTAGTATTAATGTAGCACACACACTAAGAAATACAACAAAAAAGTTTTTTACAAAACCTTGCTACTGATTTTTTGTAATAAGCCAAATATTATAGCGTTGGGTAACAAATAAGTCAAAATTTTGACGTATGAATTGAAATAAATAGAATAATATAACTGTTATTTTGGTAGGTATCTTCTCCTCGTCGGTGATTCAAGTTGATTTGGTTTCAAACCGAAAAGATCAACCAATGTCTCGAAAATCTTCCCGTTTCCGTTGAGTATAACTCTTTGGTTACAAAAATCTTTGGCCTCTTTTAAATTAAATTTATGTTAAGAGAATATATTATGTTTTTTTAGAAAGGCGTATTAATACTCAGATAATTCAATATCACTATGATGTGCAGTTACTCTCTCCCTAAGTGATCGTATAGTTTGCCCTATATAACATGAGTTACTTTTAGCACAAGGAATGTGTTAAAAAACATTTATTTCTATGAGAGGGGACAATAAGCATACGTTCTCTATAAATGCGTGCTCATTTAACTAATTTTAAATGAATTGATAATGTTTATGAACTCATTTATTAGTGAACTACCATTTGAATTTAAATTTGACATTCGTCAAATGGAAAGCGTCAAAACAAGGATCAGCTAGAGATGGTATAAGCCAGTTTGGTGTAGAACTTTATTCTAAATGTGAAATTTTCGGTGATATGTTGTCACCTTCATTAGCAACTAAATGAAAAACCTATTTTAGTACAAGTGGTGGAAATCAACATTTAAAAACCTACATTGAAAATGTTCAGTTGGTCCTAGTGGTATAGAACACTGTCACAAACATGTTAAGAATATTAAAAAATACATTTAAAGCTTTGAATAAAACCATTACAACACAACAGGGTATTTTTTCAAATGCAAACACAACAAAAAAATCTAAAATTTAAAACCTACAAAAACTGCAACTTCATGTTAAAGGTAAAAAAGAAAAATTATTCTTCTTTTTTGATGACATATTTCTGATTTCTATCAATATCCGGGTGTCATATGTAACGAGGTTATAATTTTCACGTTTGCACCTCATGGATATGGAAAGAAAGAACCCAAGGAAACATAATCAGCAGGGAAATGAAGTCTTTTCTCAAGTACAGGTAGGTAATCTATGCATGTTATAAAAAGTTCCCTACATTCTCCAGTTTGTTTCATCTTGTCAAGTCCTGCTGAAGTAGAAAGGAATAAATACAACTTAAGTTTTCAACATCTTTCTTACAGTTCATAGAAGAGCTGCAGTTATGGATGTATCACATTTCTATGAAGTTTCTCTTAAATTGGTTGTCAACCCTCTTTAGTACTTGCACATTTTCATAGTTAGCAATGTGTCCAGTATTCTTAATATGTTGGCTAAAGGCTGTGCAGGTGGGCTTTTGAAAAAGGTGGGATAATTGGTTGGAGAATGAGACGTTAGTTAGTTTCGGAAGAAAGAAAAGATAGTCAGTTAGTTTTTTAAGTGTATAAGACGAACAGTCATTGTTCTCTGGTGGTTCCCGAGAGGCAGCAAGCAGTAGTGTTGAATGTTAGTGAGTTTTTGTGGAGTTATTAGAAAGTGTGGAGAAAGCAGCAAAATATTGTAAGTCATATTTTTCTTCTTATATTCCAAAAGTCACTGTTCAGGCCAACGAGAGATTCAGTTTATCGTAAAGAGAAGATATTACAAGAGTCATTTTTCACTCGGGCAAACGAGAGATTCAGTTTATCGAGAGGAGAAAGGCTATCATAATTTGAATGATTCGTGCTTTTGAAGGAGATCATTAAGGACGATATACTTGCAACAATTTATTGTAAGATTGCTGATTACCTAGGGAGATGCTAAGAATAGATAATATAGGCTACCAGGAACAAGGATTTAGACCACTCATCATCAGAGAGAGATCGTTTTGTTTTTCTGCAGTTTTTCTTCTATTGATAACACAATTTTTACAATTACTTTAGAAAAGATATAAATTTTTTGATTAGGAGATTTAGAATAATAATTGGGATTTTGAGATTTTAACTAATATTGTTTATACCATTAATTTTGAAGGTTCACGTACGTAGAACAAAATTTTAAGAATCATTATATAAAATATTGTTTATTGAAAACATTTGAATTTTATTTCATTTTTTTTATTTCAATATATAGTGTTATATCATATGTGTGTTTTATTATTCCGGTATTCATTGGTCCTTACCTTTCACATGTGAAACATAGATATTGAAGCACGAATTTAACCCTGAGATAAGAGAATTAAAAAGTGTGATAGAGTCATAATCATATCATTTAAATAATTTTAATTAATTAATTAATTAGCTAATTAATTGCTTGGCGCACGAAGACTTTAAATATCACATTAATATAATATATATATATATATATATATATATATATATATATATGTATATATATATATATATATATATATAATATATATATATGTATATATATATATATATATATATATATGTATATATATATATATATATATATATATAATATATATATATATATATATACATTATTTTTTTGCTGTGTATTCCATAAGCTAGATGTTGAAACCACAAAATTCTTTAGACAAGATATTCCAATTCACCGATAAGACATATCCGCAAAGAAACATCCCATGTGGAATGTATCCTTTTATCTCATTTGAAAGACAACGCCCGAAGACAAGGAGAAAAGTACACAGGGGGCAGAACTGGAGAAATAAGTTCCATAGCTTAAATTGAAAGTAAACAACGTTTGTATTGTTTATTCGTTAAAATATGATTATGTACATTGTTTTCTTCCCCATTTCTTTTTTTGTTTATTACGTCTGTTGATTTGTGTGAATTGGACGAACAATACTTTATATGGATACGGTTGGTTTAGTCAATAAAAGGTGTAATGTGCAGGCTGCTAAATAAAACGCAAAAATATTTTTCGATATTCCTTAAGTTTGTAGTACAATGCAATGGTTTGGTTATTTTATTAAGAAAACAATTGAGGCAGAAGGGACGTAGGATTCCGGTCCTGATTTGAGTACTAAAATCAGCAAATAATTTACACTGTAATTAATTTTTTTTTAATAGGGAAAAAAATAATAAATAACACTTACTCACAATCACTTTAATTTAACTATCAGACGACCGGTTTCGCTTTCTACAATATGCAAAGCATCCTCAGGTCTCGATACAAAGTTAAACAAATGCTGAAATAATAAAAACCCATATTAGGGTGTTGTCTAATAACGATAAACAAAGTAGGTGTTGTAAATTACAATAATTATGCCAATATTACATGTCTGTGGTTTTATTTAAATGAGTAAGTTGAATAAAAAGGTATAAAATTTTTAAAAAAGTTAAACAGACCAGGTAAGGCCCACAATTTGTTATAAAATAGTCTCTTCGATTGTAATAAATTAATAAATGAGCAAATAAATAAATAAAATAAACATTACTTACATGCCGGTACTCTATTAATAGATGGATGGTAGAACATGGTTGAAACTACTTTATTATTGTTGAATGGAGAACTCAATTCTATCACTGCAGTTGTTTGACAGTTAAAGGGAAGTTCTTGAGGAGATAGATTTGATCCAATGAATTAG